GACCTGAGCTGAAACCAGGAGGCAGAGGCTCAACCGACTGAGACACCCAGGCACCCCTCTTTTTTTATATATTAATACAGAGTATTTCATTGTTCGATATACCACACTTTGTTAACCCATTCACCTGCCAATGAACATCTGGGTTATATCTAGTTTGGGGTGATTATATATAAAGCTGCTGTGAACATTTGTGTTTAAGACTTTGCATGGACATGTGCTTTCATTTTTCTTGGGTAAATACTTAGGGTGGAATGGCTAGGTTATGTGATAGGTATATGTTTAACTTTTAAGAAACTGCCAAACTGTTTTTTAATGTAGGTACAATTTTGCATTCCCATCAGAAATGTTTGAAGGTTCCAGTTGCTCCACATCCTTGTCAACACTTGGTATGCTTGGTCTTTTTAACTTTAATTATTCCAATAGATATACAGTGTGTCTCACTGTGAATTTAAGTTTAATTCCCTTAATGACAAATGATGTTGAGCATCTGTTCATGTGCTTATTTGCCATCCATAGATCTTCATCTACGAAATGACTGATCAAATCTTCTGCCCATCTTCCTTAATTGGGTTATTTGTTTTCTTATTGTTGAGTCTACAAAGTTCTTTATATGTTCTGCATATAGGTTCTTTATCAGATATGTGATTTGAAAATATTTTCTCCTAGTCTATGGTTCATATTTTTGTTTCCGTAACAATGTCTCTTGAAAGAGCAGAGGCTCTTAATTTTGATGAATTCCAATTTATCCATTTTTCTTTCATGGAGGGTTTTTTTTTTTTTTTTTTTTTTTTTTGGTGTTGCAGCTAAGAAAACTGCCTAACCAAAGTTCACAAAGATTTTCTAAGTTTTCTCCAAAAAGGTTTATAGTTTTAGATTTTGCATTTAGGTCTATAATCCATTTTGAGTTATTTTGTGTATATGGTGTGAGGTAGAGATGCAAGTTATTTTAATAGCACGTGGATGTTCTGTTGTTCCCATACTATTTGTTGAAAAGCCCTCTTTCTCCACTAAATTGTCTTTTCAACTTTGTTGAAAATTAACTGACCATACAAGTGTGGTTGAGTCTACTTATAGAATTCTAGGTTAATAGTTTTGACTTTTAGTATTTTAAAGATGTTGTTCCACTGTTTCCTTGCATGCCTTGTTTCTTTTTTTAAAGATTTTATTTATTTGAGAGAGAGAGAGCATGAGGGAGGGAGGGGCAGAGGGAAAGGGAGGCAGGACTTCAGCTGAAGGCAGGCGCTCAACCAACTGAGCCACCCAGGCGCCCTGCATGCTTTGTTGCTAACAAGAAATCTGCTGTAATTTTATTTTTGTTTCTCTCTATATAACATGCCTTTTTTTTCTCTATCAGCTCTTAAAACTTTCTCTTTGATGCTGTTTTTGCAGGGAAGGGGTTAACAGCTTTATTGATATATAATTCACACAACATACAATTCACTTATTTAAATTAAATGTGTTTTTTTTTTTTTTTTTTTGTATAGCCACTGGGATGTGTAATCATCACCATAATCCAGTTTAGAACATTTTCATCATCCCACAAGGGAACCCTGTGCCCACAGCTGTTAACCCCCATTCCCCTCAACATCCACCCCAGCCCCCAGCAACCACTAATCTACTTTCTATCAATTTGCCTATTGTGGGACTTGATTGTAGACTGATTGTGTGACTCTCAAGCCTTGAGATGCATCAGATGATCAGAGCTGCAGATCAACCTGACAGAGTGCCCCTTCTGGATTCTAGCCTGTGTCCAGGCCTTGCCTCGGGCTCCCCAACAGAAGGGAACAAACAGGGCTCTATTATGGTGTTCCTGGGCCCGGGGTACTTTTGCCTTTGTGGGCCCCCTCCTCCCTTAAAAAATAATTAAAAATTATACTTGAAAAAAAATTGCCTATTGACATTTCACGTAAATAGGATCACACAATACATGGCTTTTTGTGACTGACTTCTTTCATTGTATGGATGTAGCTCATTTTATTTATCTATTTATTAGTTGATGGACATTGGGTTATTTCCACTTCTTGGCTATTATGAATACTGTTGCAAGAACATTTGTGCACAAATTTTTGTGTGGACATGTTTTAATTTCTCTTGGGTGTGGAAATAGGAGTGGAATTGCTGGATCAATTGAGGGACTTCCAGACGGTTTTCTAAAATGGCTGCACCATTTTACATTCTTATCAACAATGTAAAAGTGTTCTAATTTCCCCACAAGTTCACTAACACCTCTTACTATCTGTACTTTTTTCAATTTTAATTTAATTTTATTATTATTTTTTAGGTCATCGCTACATCCAATCTGGGGTTCAAACTCATGACCCTGAGAGATCAAGAGTCACATGCTCCACGAACTGAGCCAGCCAGGTGCCCCTCTGTGTTTTTAATTGTAGCTATTCTAGTGGGTGTGAAGTGGTATCTCATTTTGTTTTTTTGGTTTTTTTAAGATTTTATTTATTTATGTGAGAGAGAATGAGATAGAGAGCATGAGAGGGGAGAGGGTCAGAGGGAGAAGCAGACTCCCCGCTGAGCAGGGAGCCCGATGTGAGACTCGATCCTGGGACTCCAGGATCATGACCTGAGCCGAAGGCAGTTGCTCAACCAACTGAACCACCCAGGCGCCCTCATTTTGGTTTTGATTTAAATTTCCATGATGACTAATGATGCTGAGTTTCTTTTCAGGTGCTTATTGGCCATTTATATATCTTTGGAGAAATGTCTGTTCTGATTTTTCACCCATTTTTTTTTAGTTGGGTTATCAAGTTGAGAGTTATTTATATACTTTAAATATATACATAGATATAGATAAAACACCTACCAAATATATTTATATATTATACATATGTTATGCAATGTTTTTCTCCTATGTCTTTCACATTTTTTTGATAATGTACTTTGAGGCATTTTTAAAATTTTTATGAAGTTCAATTTACTTTTTTTCTTTTGTCACTTATGCTTTTAGTATCATATCTGAAAAAGCTTTGCCTTCATCACCCAAGATCATTTTCTTCCAAAAATTTATAAAAGTTTTAGCTTATCCTTTTTTTTTTATTTTATTTATTTATTTGAGAGAGAGAGAGAGCAAAAACAAGGACGAGAGGCAGAGGGAGAGGGAGAAGCAGACCCCCCCCACTGAGCAGGGAGCCCGACATGGGGCTCCATCCCAGAACTCTGGGATCATGACCTGAGCCAAAGGCAGACGCTTAACCGACTGAGCCACCCAGGAGCCCCAAAAGTTTTAGCTCTTCCATTTATGTGTAGCATCGCATCTATCTTGAGTTAATTTTTGTGGATGGTGTGAGGAAAGATGTGGATAATCAGATGTCCCAACATTTGTTGAAATGCCTATTCTTTCCCCCATTGGACTGTCCTGGCATTCTTGTTGAAAATCAATTGACTGTAAATATGAGGGCCTATTTTTGAACTCTCAATTCTATTCCACCAGTCACTATGTCTAACCTCAACCTCATACTAGTACCACACTGTCTTGATTACTGTAGCTTTGCAAGGAGTTTTGAAATCAGGAAGTTTGAGTCCTCCAGCTTTGCTCTTCTTTTTCAAGACTGTTTTGGATATTCTGAGTTGCTTGGATTTCCATATGAAATTTTTTTAAGATTTTATTTATTTATTTGATATATAGAGAGAGAGCACAAGCAGGGGGAGCAGCAGAGGGAGAGGGAGAAGCAGGCTCCCCGTGGAGCAGGAAGCCTGATGTGGGTCTTGATCCCAGGACCCTGGGATCATGACCAGAGTCAAAGGCAGTCGCTTAACCAACTGAGCCAGCCAGGCGCCCCTCCATATGAATTTTAGAGGCAGCTTGTCAGTTTCTGCAAAAATCTTAGCTGGAATTCCAATAGAGATTGCATTGAACCTAAAGATCAATTTGGGAAGTATTAACATCTTAACGATATTTAATCTTCTGATCCATGAACATGGGATATCTTTTCATTTATTGATTTTTTAAATATCAATCTTGTACCCTGAATCCTTGCTTAATCCATTTATTAGTTTTAATAGTTTTTTTTAGTGGATTTCTTGGGATTCTTTATATATAAGGTCATGTCATTTGACCATAGACAGTTTTACTTCTTCCTTTCCAATCTCAGTGACTTTTATTTCATTCCCTTACCTAATTGGCCTAACTAGAACTCCCTACACTGCTGGACAGAAGTGGCAAGAACAGACACCATTGTTTTATCCCTGTATTGTAGCAATTTGATTCTGTGGTTCCTTGATGTAGTTTTCTTCAAACTTTTTTTTTTAAGATGTTTTTTATTTATTTGACAGAGAGAGAGCATAGGCAGGGGGAGTGGCAGGCAGAGGGAGAAGGAGAAGCAGGCTCCCCTGGGATCATGACCTGAGCCTTCTGGGACTCCAATTACATGTATACTAGGCCACTTCAAGTTGTCCCACAGCTAACTAATGCTCTTTTGTCTTTCCTTCTTTTCCAGTTTTTAAATCTGTTTCAATTTGAATAGTTTTTATTGTTATGGTTGCCGTATTTTAGCTTCTTGAACACATGAAGTGTGACTATCACAACCGTTTTAATGTCCTTGTCTACTAATTCTATTATTTGTGACACTTCTAGGGTTCCTTCCAATTGATTGATTTTTCTCCTATTATGAGTCATATTTTCCCTGCTTCTTTGTATTCCTGGTAATTTTTTACTGGCTGCCAGACATCATGAATTTTAATATGTTGGGTGCTGGATATTTCTGTGTTCCTATAAATATTCTTGGGCTTTGTTCTGGGGCACAGTTGAGTTACTTGGAGACAGTTTGATCCTTTGGGGTCTTGTTCATAAGCTTTGTTAGGCAACACCAGAACAGCACTTACTGCAAGGCTAATTATCCCTTACTACTGGGACAGGTCCTTCTGAATACTCTACCATGTGCCCTATGAATTATGGGCTTTTTCAATGTGGCTAGAGGTGACCCTGTGTGAACTCAAAGGATTTTTCTAATTTTTTCTGGTGGTTCTTTTCCTAGCCTCGAGGAGTTTCTCCCAGCATGTTCTAATCAGCCTTGAGGGAGACCCTCTGCAACTCTCCATAGTTCTTTCTCTGGCACCTCTTTTCTTGCTGACCCTAGCTGCGCTGGTTCTCCACCACTGCCCATGGAAGTCTGCTAACCTGCCTGGCTTCCCCCTCCCTGCAGTCGAGGCCTGGACACCATCTTCTGGCAGTCAGCTAGGGCAGTACAGGGTTCACTTCATTTCTTTCCCACTTCTCAGGGGCCACTGTCTTTCAAGCCTGCTATTTCATATATTTTGTCCAGTTTTTTAGTTGTTTTAAGCAGGAGGGTAAATCTGGTCCCTGCCACTCCATCTGTGGTGGAAGAAATTTTCTCTATGCAGGTTATTTATTTTATTTAATTCCTTCAACCACACAGCACCAGAGATAAGTAGTATTCCTAATCCTATTTTACGTTTGAGATTTTGTGACTTGCCCAAGGTCACACAACTAAGTGACAGCAGAAATAAAATTCAATCCCAGTCTGTGCATGAAGCCTTCCCTGAACCACTCCTGTGCTGACAAGACCTTGAGGGGCTGCCCAACACAGAGATTGCGATTGTGGATGTAGGATGTATGTCTGCGGCCTTCCCAAACACAGAGCAAACTCTGCCCAGGTGGAGCTGATTTCTAAGTGGCACAATTCCTGGAAGCCCAGAGGCAGGTGCTGCTCTGGGAATAGCTGGTAACTGCTTCGCTCCCCGTTCCCTTCTCCAAACTTCCCCTGATGCCACATCGCAAGCCTGAGGGGACTGTGCACCCAGACTCCAGTGGACGGCAGCCAGGAAACCCACAGCCCGGTCACACGTGCACTCACAGCTGCAGCCACAGGCCCTGTAGTTACAGCTGCCAGCTCTAAGCACTTCTTGGGGACTGGAACATTCCAGCACCATCTCATTCACTCCACACAACCCTCCCGAGTTCCAGGCTGGGGTGGCCCAGGATTCTGGGCTTCGTGCTGGGCGTGTAGGTCTCCCCACCCAGGGAGACGCTGCCTCGCTGCATGTGGGCAAGAGGTCAAATTTGAGGCTGAAAATGAGGCTCACGGTGGGGGGGGGTTCATTTGAGGAAGCCCACCGGTCCTCAGGCTCCACCCTCCCATCCCTCTGTGCCTGTACACCAGGGAGGGTCCCCATATGTCCAACTGGGGAGGGTCCCCTGTGTACCCTAGTGCCAGGGATCAGCCACATACACACGGGAGGGTCAGCCTAGACACCTGAAGCTTAGTTTCTGCCCTCCAGAGGGGCAGGTATTTGCCCCTGTGACTTCTGGAAAGTCAACAACAGCCTCCTGCCACCAATCTACTTGGTAACAGTAAGCTCTGGTAGTTTAGTCCTTTGGGGTTACTACAACAAAATACCATAGACTGGGTGGCTTATCAACAACAGAAACATATTTCTCACAGTTCTGGAGGAAGTCCGAGATCAGGGTGCCAACAGGGTCTGATTTTGATGAGGGTCCTCTTCCAGCCTGTGGATGGCCACCCTCTCAGTCTTGTTACCTGGTAGAGAGTGAGTGCAAGTTCACATGCCCGTGTCCCTTTTATAAAGACATCAATCCCATCCCATTACTGAGGGCACTGCCCATGTGACCTAATCACCTCCAAAAGGCCCCATTTCCTAATGCCATCACCTTGGGGGGTAGGTTTCCACATATGAATGGGAGGGAGAGTCGATCCGTCTAGAGCACCTGGTCTCTGCTCAGGAAAAGTCTGACCAAAGATTGCCAGCTCTAAGTGGGCAGACTGGTCAGTTCAGATTCTGGGTGGTGACTCATACCTCTTAATTTTGCAAACCAAATCCCTAGAGACACATTCATGGAGCTTTTTCTCTTTTCCTAAAGCTGAACAGGAGAAGAGGAAATTGCTTGTTCACACCGCCGGATGATGGCCGGTTCTACCCAGCATTTCATTCAGAGACCAGCTCTGAATGTGGAGAAAGAAGCTCAGCTGGAGCTTACAGAACACCTTCCTGACCCTGGGCTGCTAGGGGAGCTGAGGTCCATGGCACCGCAGGAACAATGAGAGGGGAGGGTCAGGAGCCCAGTCAGCCCCCAGCCCTCTGGGTGTATTTGACAAAAGCAGTGGTCAGCTCGTAAGTTGACGGGGGAGAGTGAGAGCTGGGGGTGGACAGTGCCGCCTCCCTACCCCCAGGGGCTGCTGACCTCTCCCTCACTGTGTTCAACAGGGCAAGGGGTGCTGGGGGCACCCAAAGTGAGGGGAGGTGTAGAGCTGGAGAAGCCCTCTTTTCCACCAGCCTCTGTCTGGTTGGGACAAGCAGCTGCAGAAAGGTTCCCCTCTCCCGGCCCACTATGTGGGTAAGGATGAGAAGGCAGGGGGTGGGATGTTCCTGCTGGTTCAGGTATGTGCACCTCCCTTACAGTAGGGTCAGGGGTTGACGAGGGCCGAGCACGGGGCTTCAGCCTTCCAACACTGACCTTCTACTCTTTGCTGAGCTCCTTTCTCCCCCACACAGGCATTGGGACTCCTCACTCACAGAGGAGGCCCAGGAGGTAAGCCCAAAGCTACCAGGTGGGTGTCAGGGTCAGGTGGGACACCAGGAGGAGACACATTTGAGGCAGCAGCAGACAGGTACTTTTTGGTAACCATGGTTACCAGGCTGCAGAAAGAGTTGATGCACCCCACCCAGGAGCAGGGCAGTGTGGCCCAGGAGTTTCACAGTGCCAGGGCCAGCTGAGGCCAGGCCCACCCGCAGTGGTGGTACTATGGCTCTCAGCAGGAAGCATCTCACACCTGTCCTTGTTGGAAACCTGGAGCCTGTGACTCCCCAACCCCATGCCCTGATCCGGGGTGTCCTATCAGTTACTGCCACAGAAATGACCCCCAGCTCTGCTGGATCCCTCAGGGGTGGACCTGGACTGTGGCTCGTCAGCACCATGGCAGGGCCCTGGGCCTGTCCCTGCACCCATCCAGTTGAGGCTTGCTAGGAAACTGCTTCCAGGTCAAAGTCAGGCCAATCCACTCTCTGCTTATGACAATAGGTGCAGGGACTATTTCTGGGGTTACTCTCACCAAGAGTCCAGTCCTCACCCCCACCTAACCTCTTCCACAATTCCATTGTCAGGAAGGCAGGTGGGGGCAACCGGTGACCCACGGGTGTATTAGTTGTTTATTGCTATTGTTATTTAAGTTTTACAACTTATATTGTTGTTGTTATTTTACAACTTATTATTTATTGCTGCCTAACAAATTAACCTAAAGTTTAGCAGCTTAAAATGACAAACCGTTGCTTATCTCACACAGTTTCTCAGAGATAGAAATCCAGGAGCTGCTCACCTGGGTGGTTCTGGCTCAGGATCTCTCCTGAAGTTGCTGTCAAGATGTTGACAGGGGCTGGGATCTCATCTGAAGCCTCAAGGAGTTGGAGAATCTACTTCTAAACTCACTCTCCCTCAGGTCCACACTCTGTTGGCCTCTCCATAGTAAAGACAGCTGGCCTCTCCCAGAGTGAATGATGTGACAGAGAGACAGAGACACAGCAAGACGTACTTGCAAACCAACACTAAAGAGACATCACATCACTTCTACAGGGCCCAATCGGTCATGAGAGCCAACCTCAGCACATTTACAAAGCTGCAAACCAGAAGGGGATCACTGGTGGCCTTCTAAGAAGCTGTCGACCCCAGGGCCTGTTTCCTTGACCATGGCACATCCCAGGATGGAAATAGTCCCCAGGGCTCTAGGGAGCAGAGACAGAGCAACAAGGCACAGCTGTGGGACCCTTTAGGTTCAGCTTCCTGCTCTGGAAAGCTTGCCAGGTGATGGGAGGAGGTTGCAGAGGCCTGGAGATAATCAGGGGACCACTGGAGCTTTGGTCAGGGAGCTAAGGCCTCACCTCTCACAAACCAGGGCTCCAAACAGCCCAGCCCTCCCCCCACTCTGAATTTCCAATTGACCGCAGTTTCATGGGCCGACTTCTGTCACCATAGGGACGGATTCTTTCTCCAAATTTCTAACACCCATGATTTACTGTCATTGTTCAGTCCCTAAGCCCTGGCCCCATAAGCAGATGGGACACAGACACACAGGGATCCCACACCCACACAGGCAGGCAGTTCTGCTGACCATGCACATGAATTTAGCAAACATTTATTGGCTCTTGGTCTTTGCCGGGAACTGGGCTGGAAGGAGACCCCAGATACTGAATGACACTCCACCTCCCGGGGGAGGGTAAATGACCAGGAGGCCTTCTAGCCTCCTCCCCAGGAGGAGGTCCCGATGCCTCCCCCACCCCTACCACATAGCCTTGACAGGAGAAGGTGCTTCATCTATTATTCAGCAGGAAGTGTCTGCAAGACAAAAGCCAAGATAAAAATAGCTGGGTGGGTGGCTAGGAGATCAGGGACAGGGAAATAACCAGGAGCCCATCTTGGGGTAGTGAAGGAGAGGGGAGGAGCAGGAAAGGGGTGGAAGGGTGGGGAGGGGGTAGGAAGGAGAACCCCTGGTGTGAGGGGGTTACTCCACGTTTAGGCCAGAACTCTCCCCACTGAGGTCTGTAGGAAAGCTCTTGAGGGGTCCACTGGACTGGGTGTAGGGGGAGGTGGTGTTCCTTCCACAGCTGGAGACAAAGATGCTGTTTGTTTGCTTGTTTTAAGATTTTATTTATTTGACAGAGCAAGAGAGCACAAGCAGAGGGAACAGAAGAGGGAGGGAAAGAAGCAGGTTCCTCACTGAGCAGGGAGCGGGTTGAGGGACTCGATACCGGGACTCTGGGATCATGACCAGCGCTGAACCCAAGACTATTAGCCATCTGAGCCACCCAGACGCGGAGGATGCTGTTCTTAAGACCCAGGTGCCCTCAGCTGCTGAAAAGGGGCAGCCTGGGTAGGAGGCCAGCTTCAGCCTGAGCTGTGCTTCCTCAGACCTCCCTAATCTAAGTGAGAACGACACCCTTCTCAGCCAGGGGCGCCTGTGGTGGCTCAGGTGGTTGAGCAGTTAAGCATCTGACTTTAGCTCAGTTCATGATCTCGGGGTCCTGGGATGGAGCCCCCACCCCCACCCCGCGAGCGCTGAGTCAGGAGTCCGCTTGTCCCTCTGGCCCGCCTCGCTCTCTCTCTCTCTCTCTCTCTCTCTCACACACACACACACACGTGCGAGCTCTCTCTCAAATAAAATAAAATCTTAAAAAAAAATGACACCCCTCTCAGCCACAAAAAACAATAGAATCTTGCCATTTATGACAACATGGATAGACCTAGAAGGTATTATGCTAAGTGAAATAATCCAGACAGAAAAAAAATAAATACCATATGTTTCCCTTGCACGTGGAACTATAAAACAAGATAAGCAAACAAACAAAAAATACTCTTGGGGCGCCTGGCTGACTTAGTTGGTGGAGCGTGCAACGCTTGATCTCGGGGTTGTGAGTTCGAGTCCCATCCTGGGTGTAGAGATTACTTAAAAATAAAACCTTAAAAAAAAAATAACTCCTAAATACAGAGAACAAACTGGTGGTTCTCAGAGGAAAGGTGGATGGGGGATGGGTGAAACAGGCAAAGAGGATTAGGGGGTACAAACTTCCACGTATATAATAAATAAGTCACAAAGATGAAAAGCACAGAATAGGGAATATAGTCAATAATCCCACAATAATTCTGTACCCTGACAGATGGCGACTACTCTTATGGTGAGCACTAAGGTATGCAATTATCGAATCAGTGTGTTGTGCACCTGAAATTAATATAACGCTGTATATCAACTATACTTCAAAAACCCTTCCCAAACCTCCTGACTCCGTCTTTTGTTCAGTTATTCAGGTCAGTATGAATCCAACTGTTCCGAGCAGGTGCTGGGGACAAAGTGAGTGACAGCATGGCCTTAGCCTCTGGAGCCCACGGAGCCCGGGGTGGCTGCCTCCAGTGGGAAAGTGGGGAAAGAATTTCAGCAGGGAGGTTGAGTTCAAAGGGACAGAGAGCAGGAGGAGCTTGCCTGTCTTTGGAACTGTGTGTGGTCCCCCACAGGGCCTGAGAGGTCCTTGATGGGTCCTCACTCCAAAGCTCCCTCTGGCAACAGTGTTGAGATTACCGGAAATAAGAAGTAAATGTGGCATGGGAGTTGGGGGTGGAAAGGACAGGAAGTAGGGCAGAGAGGGAATGGGAGCCCAGAGATCTGGTCTAGTTATCACTGCCCTCTCATGGGAGGAGGGAGAGCATCATGGCCCAAGTTCCAGGTGATTTCCCCAGGCGGCCCTTTCTCCTTTAGCCACACAAGTAGGAAGGTCCCTCTTTTTCCTGCAGATGTGTGGGCTCCAGCTTTGTACAGACCCTAACCACCCCCCTACCCATCCCCCAGGCTTCACATCCCAAAGCACCACCCCTTCTCCCAGCTTCTGCCCTGAAGCCCTGAGCAGCTCCCCTTTCCCAACCAAGCTGAGCTTCTAGCTTCAGCAGTAGACCTTGTGCTAGTCTCCTGCCCAAGAGGGCTTCCCAGGAGTGATCAATTATTCCTCCCCCACAGTCCTGCTGATGCCACAGCTCTGAAGAAAGAAAACCTTCCTTCAGAGCTCCCCTGGGCTCCCCCGAGGCCAGGATCACAGAGTGTGTCTATGTCCAAGGATAGAGTACCTGGCCCATGTGGCTGCCACCATCTAGGACCACTGACCCAGGCCCTTCAGTCTTGGGGAGATGGGCAAGGAAACCAGAGGGCAGGAGGTGACTTGCTTGGTGGGGATCTGGAGGTCCCTGCTGGGTAAGCATGGCTGAGTGCAGGAGAGCCCAGGTGAATCCTGCTTGTGACACAGCCATGGAAGCCACTGGAGAAGCAGGCTAACCTCTAGCAGTGACTCACCCTCTTTCTCCTTGATGGGCCCTGGCCAGGCAGGCGGCTGACAACCGTCTGATGAACTCAGCTGCAGTTGGGAAATGAGTCTTGGCTCAGCCTCAGATGGGCTCAGGATGAGACACTCCGGTCTCAGCTTGTATGACTCAGATCACCCCCTCATTGCAACTGGAGCCCAGTGCCCAGCAGTAGCTCAGGGAGACCTGGGACACCGCAGGATGGTGACTCCAGGGCTGATGTCCAATGCTGCTCAGCATTACTGCCCAGGACTGTAGGGCTGCCACACAGCAGGTGCTCAGAACAGAGGCATGGGCAGAACCACCCTCCAATCTTTCCCCACCAGGGGGGAGACCTCCCCTCCAGGGCACACAGCAGGACTGGACTCTGGTAGGAGAGTTACCCCCCTCCAAACCTTGGCACTAAGTGCTCTTGGCCAGTCTTGCCCCAGTTCCCTGTCCTCAGGACTCAGTCACCCTCTCCTGCTGGCACTCGTCTCCTGACCAGACACTGGCCTGGGGCAGGCTCAGCCCAGGCAGCTTTGTGTTGAACCATGAGAATAAAGTAGGAAGTGGACCAAGCCAGAACTGAAGCCGCAGGGCACAATCACCTCTCGCCATGCCTAGTGGCCCAGGACAAAAGAGTGTGACAATGTCTTCACCTTCCAAGGTCCACAGGAGAGGGATAAGGTACCTTTAAACACAAACAAAAATCCTTGCCCAGTGATGCCGCCGGACTGGTTTCCAACATTGGGATACATTGTGGAAAATGTGATGACTGTCACTTTCCTGAGTGGCTTCTCACATCGCCCACACTTCCAGGAGGGTGGCTGGCTCCTGCACAGATGCAGGTACACCGACCAAGCCCTGGGCTAGAGGAACGGCCGGCACGGAGTACAGAGCGTGGGGAAGGGCCACCCGCAGTCCTACCCCAGAAGTCCAGCACAAAGCAACCAGCCGACTCCCCCACCCCCCACCCCAGGACTAAGGACTGAAAGAAACGCCAGACTAGAGTCTTCACAAAGACAAAAAAATATCAAAACTCTCTCGACGTGGCCTCTGGAAACAAATATTCTCTGGTACACTCAGCAAAGGCCACGGCCCTAGAACGGGGTGCAGCCTCTGTTACAGTCTGAGGGTCGAGGCCTCACCGCAGCCACGGCCTCCAGGGCGCGCCCCGGTTCTGCAGTCCCGCCCTAGGGGCGTTGGGGGGCGCCCCAGTCAGGCCTGGAGGGAGCCGCAGCGCGAAGGCAGACCCAGGGCGCAGCAGGGGTAAGGGGTGGTCGAATGCCAGGAGCGGCGGGCAACCGGCGTAGACTTCGGGCGCCCGGGCCTCCGCAGCGGGGGACGATGGAGCCGGGCGGCGCGAGGGCCCCAGCTGGCCCAGGCAGGCGGCCAGGTGGCCAAGCAGGCGAGAACGCACGTCGGCCGGGACGCCCTCGCAGCCGGCCAAGAAGCGATTCACCTCCGCTAGACACTCATTGAAGCCGGCGCGGTACTTGCCCAGGACGGCGGGGTCAGCGCTGAGCGCGGCTGCGGGTGCGGCAGGGGACAGGCGGTCGGTTCCCACCGCGGTGGTCTTGTGCGCCTCCCGGTCACCCCACCCCACCCCCACGCCGCTGCTGCCCGCGCCTCACCTGTCACCTGCACACGCCGCAGACTCTGCAGGTGCCTGACGGTCATCTCCAGGATGTCTGCTTTTTCCAGCTTCGAATGGCGGGAACTCTGGCGGTAGGGCGGGTGTGGGAGGCTTGCAACCCAATAGTGCGCCAAGACTTCCGAGTTCCGCACCTCCACCCCTCGACCTCACCTCCCGACCCCGACTTACATCCTTCCTGAAGGCGTCCAGGATGAGGGTCTTGAGCTGCGCGAGGCTTTCGTTGATGCGCGCTCGGCGCCGCTTCTCCATGACGGGTTTGGAGGACTGTGGGTCGGGCTGTGGCTGAGTCCCGCATCCGTCTGTCCCACCCCACGCCTCCCAACCCACGCCCCGCCCGGTCCCCACCTTTCGGTGCTCCGCCGCGCTTCGGGGCTTATTCGGGGTTCTGCTGGCGCTGGCCGGTGCTCCTGCCAGCGGCGAGGCTCTCGGCTTCCCTGGGGTGTCTGCAGGCATGGTGCGCCCCCGCGCCTCCGGAGCCGGGCGGAGTGCGCCGCCGGGAGCTGGCGGGCGCGTGGCGTCCCCTGTTCTTCTCAATCGGGTCCCAGGCTGCAGGCCCGCGCGAAGAGTTGCCAGCCGCTCGGCTATTTAAGGCAGCGCGGCCGCAGGGTGTGTGAACCGCGCTCGGCATTCTTTCCCACACTCTCGCCAGCCAATGAGAGGCTGCGCTCCACCCGCCCGTTTCCCCCCCCCCCCCCCGCCCCGGGCCCTGCGCTGGGCAGCCCACCCCCGGCTGCCGCCGCCGCCAAATGTCAGTCACGCCTAGGCTCCCTGCCCACCAGCCCGGCCCGCGACAAAGGCAAGCAGAGGCGCCCTGCCCGCGCCCGCCTCTAGCTACGACGGGACGAAGCGGGAAAATCGCCGGGCCCCCTCCTCTGCGGCCGCGTCCCGAGCTCTGCGCCGGGACGGAGCCTCTTTGGACTGCCCCGGGCAGCGCATCTCCCGGGCCGGGCGCGAGGCTCCCATTCAGACCCAACGGGGCCCGGGGTGGAGATGGGACGCAGAGTTCGCGGCGGGCGGCGCGGGAAATCTGAAAGGAGAAGTCGCAAGGGGGAATTGGGTCAGGCGCCCCTGAGGAGTGGGCGAGGCTTGGCCCACGTGCCTCTTCGGTTTTTCTCAGTAATCGCGGGTCCCCGCTCGGGGCCAGGGGTCTCTGCACAGCCTCATCTGACCGGCCGCATGCTCAGCCTCCCAGGACCCTCACCACCTGCACACCTACTCAAGGCCTATTACACCGTGAACGTGGAACACCAGCCTCTGGGCAGGAGAGAGGTCAGCTGGCTGAAGTCTTGAGGCAGGCAGGGTGGCGTCACAGGACAATTAAATTATGGCATAGAACGATGAGGGTGACACTGCAGGACAGGTAGAGCGATGTCATGGATCAGGCAGAAAGATGTCACGCAACAGAATGTAAGGGTATCACTGGCCAGGCTTGCAATGCCACCAGATAATCGGAGGTGACGTCTCAGGGTGAAGGGCAGTGATGACTCAAGCCAGATGAGGTGATGTCATGGGGCTGGGGATGTCACACTCTTCTAGATTACACAATAGCAGGCTAAGCACCAGCAAAGTAGGGCTCACAAAAAAAGAGCAGCCATTGTTAAAATCTGTTTATTTTGAAGTGGCACAGCGGGAGATACAGGACTATATTATTTTCCTGTTCGATATTGCTTTCATTTTGAATTATGTCACAGGGCCATAGTCTTTTGAGTACTCGGGGTCCCCAGTCCACTGTGGCCTGGCAGCAGTGTGGTATCCATCCCATAGACATTTCCCGAGGCCCACTGTGGGCCTGGCCAGCTGCTGGGGCTGGGGAAGCCCCTCCCGGGGCTTCTAATCAGGTGCTGGGGGAGATGGCAAGCAAAAATAATCATTCCGTTATAAATGATAGAAATGGGTGGGCTGCTGGAGGAGAGGAAACACTTCTTTTGACGGGGTGTCCAGAAGTCTTCTCTGCGGTGGGACCTTCTGGGGGAGAAGGCAGCTTTGCAAGGCCCAGGGGGAGGGAATGGCATCCCCAGGGTGGCAAAGGGGCCACAGGAGCAGAGGGAGGTGGGGAAGGGGCCGGCAGGGGCACAGGGACCTGGAGGCTTCTGGCCCCAGGAGTGGTCTGGGAGAGCCTTGGGGGGCTTTTCCGAGCAATGAAGTGAGCCGAATGGCGAGCCTCGATGGGTCAGCTCAACTGCTGTGGGTCTACATAGTGGGTGTCCATGGCTGGCCCCTGTCCCAACACCCATTTCCGGGTCCCACTCTGGCCCCCATCCAGAGGCCTTTTTTCCTTTCTGAGGCTGATTCTAGTCTAGTGTCAAGCGAAGTCCCCGCCTGCCCTCCACCGATGCACCGCCCCCACCCCCGTCTGCCTCGGGCGCCGGGGCGGGGCAGGGGGCAACTCAGGTCCTCCCCACCACACAATCGCTTCTGCACAGGCACCTAGATAAGGCTAACCATTTTTCCCCTTTCCCGCCTAGAGGAGCGCGCGGGGGAGTAGAGGGGCCTTGGAAAGCAGGTGGGGTCAGGAAGGAATCTGAGGAGGGGCCACTGCTAGCACAAAGAGCCCTGGGAGCGCCGATTGGTCCGGTGCAGGGGCGGCTGGAACCAGTCCCGCTATCCAGGAGGTCGCGGAGATTGCAGAGGACAGAAGCCCGCGAGCGCCCCCGGTGGCCACTGGAGACTCTTCCTCCTCTTGGGAGCTGGCCGGTGTGGCTGGGCTCTGGGCGGCCCTCAGCCTTGCGCGGAGGTCCGGCAGGCAGTTCAGACTGGAAGGAGAGGCCCGAGGAGCGACGTCCTTGCTACCCTTTCCCTCACTAGTTGTTAGATGAGTTGACTTACCTTCCTGTACCTGCTTCCGCACCTGTAAAATGGGTCATCTATTTACCGCAGGAATATTGGGAAGATAAACGAGATTATTCTGAAGGAACCCAGCACGTAGTGAGAACTGGGTGCATGTCGGCTACCTGTTGCTACTGCCTCGGGGAGGCGGGTGGTAGAGGGCTGAACGGAGGGGAGGCTGAGGCAGGGAGGGGATGGCTGTACTCAGCGTCATCACATGCTCCATGGTGCTCTCCACACTTTGAGCACCCCCCAGGCTCATCCTCAGAGGCCTGTCAGAAGGGAAAGGGTGCTCCCCATCCAGGGTCTCCAGCAGCCCGTGTCTTGGCCTTCCCAGCCTCAGTCCCAGCGAGGAGCCCTCCAGGGGCCGGAGCAAGGTGTGCTTTCCCAATATTGTAATCACCTACACGCCCCCTGTGTCTTTCCCACAGGGCTACCCCCCCACAGTCTGTATGGTCATGTCCCTCTGGGCCCTTGTCCCTCAGACTGTCTCTGTAAGGAAGCACAAACTGGCCCCAGGGACAGGCCACAAGGAGAGGCCCCGTGGAAAGGCCTTGTGTGGGCGTTGCAGCCAGCGGCCCAGTAGTCTCAGCTGCTACGCACGTTGGTGAAACACCTCCAAATGACCCTAACCTGAAGTTGCTGTCGCCACTCGTTTCACATCTTCCCAGCTGCCCCTGCTCGTTCCAGTTCTGGATTCCCAGAGTAGGGCAGCTGTTTACTATGCCATTTGTTACATAGCAGTAGTAACTGCAATAGCTGGGCGGGACCAAGCCCTGGCCCCAGGGACAGTGGGCTTTTCCTCCCACCCGCCCCTTCTTCCCTGTCCTTTTTCCTTATTCTCTTTTCCCCCCCAAAGATTTTATTTATTTGACAGAGAGAGACACAGCGAGAGAGGGAACACAAGCAGGGGGAGTGGGGGAGGGAGAAGCAGGCTTTCTGCCGAGCAGGGAGCCCCATGCGGGGCTCGATCCCAGGACCCCGGGATCATGACCTGAGCCGAAGGCAGACACTTAGCCGACTGAGCCACCCAGGCGCCCCTTTCCTTATTTTCTTTAGCATTTACAAATGCTCAGTGGCTTTGAACCATGGCTTTCCATCTGATGAGATGCTTCTTGGGAGCCATCAAAGGCCTGTCTGTCTTCCTGGACCCAGGCCCGAGTGGGCCAAGCCCCAGAAGGCTGATGGTCCAGGGGGCATCAGCAGGGTCCACTGATGGCCATGGCGGGGGGGGGGAGCAAAGCAGGAAAGTCAGTGGGGGAGTTTGTGAGGAAAGACAGAGGTGTCTTCTAGGCCAGACATGGGGCTCTAGCCTTGTGGGGGTGGAGGTCTCACATCTGGCCAATGAAACAGCATGACAACATGCAACCCATGTCCTTGAGGGCTTGTGAAGTGCTGTTTGTGCACACCCCACCCCCCAACCTCTGACATGGGGATGCCAACTGCATTTACACCCTAGCCCCCACATTCCTCTGGCACATGGATTCCAGTACATCAGAGACACCATAGACCACCACCCGCCCCGTCCCCCCATGCACCCTTCTTAGAGTCTGCTCCCACCTCTCCTGCCAAGAGGCATCAGCCCATCGACTCAGGCAGCTGGGACCAGAGCTGTCAAGAGACCAGGCTAGAACCGGTGTAGGTTCTCTCCTGCAAAGTGGCAGCTGGGGGCTGAGTCTTTCATCGGTGTTTGCTGGAATCCAGCAAATGACAAAGGCCAGGGCTGATGGAAACCAGGATGCAAGATAGCGACGAGGTAATCAAATGCCCAGGACCCAGGTAGAGGCCAGGAGCACAGCTTGCTGATGCTGAGGTTTTAGGTTCCAGGACAGTCCTCATCCTCCATGGCCAAGAGGGTGTCTTCCACCCTTATAGGCTGTGGACCCGACACAACTTCCCTCAGCTACCCGAACAGTGGGCAGGGAGAGCATTCCCTCCCCACCCAGCACATGCTGAGTGACAGCATCTTTCCCATGGTCTGGGCGTTGTTAGTATCTTTCTCCAAAATCTGAGTGGTGACACCTCTCCATATTTGGGAAGTCATATCTCTCCAACTTGGGAAATGACAGAATCTCCTCCCAATCCCTGTCTGCATAGGATGGCTCCGGTGGGTACTGCTGTTCACTGTTCTTAGACCACTGCACCTGGGGAGAAGTGAGCTTCCTTGCCCTTCCTCTTTGGAACTTCCAGGCCAGTCTCTTCTCTACCACAAAAGCCCCAGCTTCCAACCTTGTATTATCACACCTTGCCTTGTTGAAGCTGTCTCGGCGCCAGGGGGCCTTGTCTCATTTCCCATGTGTTTTACTCCTGATCCCGTCACTTTCCCCAACCACTCCTGCCATAGTTCCTGGTGATTTCAAAATCCACAAAGAAGATTCTCCAACCTCCTGGACCCCTCCCCTGCTGCAGTCCTTTCACCTTCGCTCCCCTGGCCAAGGTGCTTCTCACAACTGCAACCCCTCCATGGCCTAACCTCAAGGCTCACATTCCCTGACAACTTCCCAGCCCCGAAGCTCACGTCTTCCACTCCTCTTCAGCCCTGCTGAGATCGGCAGTCCTTGGATAAGACCGAGGTTGGTGCTTCGTCATCCTCTGGCGTCTTTTCCCCCGTCTGCATCAGGAGAAACTTATCTGGCCAGCCCTTGTGCCTGCTCCCTAACCCTGCTCTCGCTTCCTCATATTCACTTGGCCAAACCGTAACCTGTGTTAAATCCCAGCTCTCTCCGTGGCGTGACGAC